CCCCGGCTGGTAGTGGTTAAGGAGCCATCACGTTTTGTGCAGGTTTAAACTTTTCTTGAGTATCTGAAACCTGAATTCTGTTTGTAGTTAAGTGAACTGTAAAGTGTACAAAAATACTGAAAATTGACGTAGTTACTCCAGACAGGTGAGGGTGCTGTTAGATGTGATATAATCCAGAAAGACATGGCTCAACTTTTACATACAATGTATGCTGAACCCCAAATGTGTTCTTTGAAAATATTTCTGAGAAAAAGGTTGATTGCTGGCTTATTGTCATACACTTATACAACAATAAATGGCCAAAGGATATGGAAATCTTCAATAGTGAAGTATGAAAAAATCTAGCAATTTTTTGTGCACAAATCAATGCAACATTGAGGTTCAGTGTCTTTGATTACATCAAAGTTTTGCTTATAAATTAAAAAATTCATATTAGGCCCCAAAGTACAGATGAATATAACAAAACAAAAATTGAAAATAAAGTTAACCCCTTGACGATGGGAATTTCTTCCCAAAAGCCGACTCCAGGAATTCCAGCCTCACTTGGCCACGAAGGTCACCTGCCAAACCGCAAATTCTCGGTTTGTGGCCCTGCTTGCTCTGCACGCTGGGATTTATACAGTGAAAAGGCTGATTGTTCGGTGGCATGCGGCTCTACTCAAGCTTCCACGTTCCCGTTGCCTCTTTTCAAAGGGGGTACTGTTGTGAAGCTGGTCTTTTCATTTCTGGGCTACGCACAAAGACCAATGACCATATATACAAGAGCCAGGGTCTGGCTTTTTTCACCGTGTTCACTCGAGCGTGGGCTGGGAATAATAGCTGAAAAGCGGGCTGAGGATCTCAATTTTTACGGCGGCTCTATCCGTGTCCCAGCGCGAAGGGGTTAACAGAAACACAATGGTGCAGTTTTGAGGATTTTTGTATAATACTTTTTTTACATGGTTCCTTTCAGTTTGAGAAGTACATGTATTTTTGGTTTTGACATCAATCCCCAGGTCCAACTCTGAAGCTGAAACGACCAGTGGTCACCAAACAGTATGCTGAACTAATAGATTCGTTTTATGAATAAATCACCTTCACTGTGTGAGATGTCTCAAGCTGCTGTGTTGACCTAGGCATCTTGAGAGGCAGAATACGTCTGTAATGGCTACTTCATTATTTGCTGAAGAGATGGAATCAAGATAATGATTGGAAAGCACAGAGTTACAGTCACGTCATGCAAAGACAAGGAATTCTTTATTATTGAGTTTGTTGTCCTAAAATCCTTATGAGCACAAAGGAACTTTGCTTTTGTATGATGGAGAATTCTGATTTCCTTTAATTTAAAATCCAAGTATATTGTACTTGATTCAACTCATTTTGCATTTAATCTTTTAGAAAATTAACACAGTCAAGAACTCAGTTTGAATGACCTTACACAATTCTAACATCTGTGAAAGAAGTGTGTCATCTACATGTACGTGTAAATCTGTACAGTTGATTAAACTGTTGATTTCTAATTTTGTGATGAATTGACAGACTTTTTAAAGAGTAATGGAAGTGGCTTGTTATCAAGAGCACTGTAGATTGTTTTCCAACCTCACAGGGTAAAGTTACACTTTATGAAATGCATGTAGATGGATGCACCATTGTAGTGTAGTTGTTTTCCTTAAGTCTACGAAATGACTGGCCATAAAGCCCACTAGATGGATAATATTGCCTCACATAACAATGTTAACGTTTGTGCTGGATATGTACATTGTAGGATGCTATCTACCCATTAATGCACAGTCTGCTTGTGGTCGCACAAAACAAATTGTCAAAATCAGGTTTAACTAATAAAAGGAACTACAGTAAAGACGGTAGCAGCAGAGTGATGTTGTTCACTGTATTCAGTTTTTATTGCAGACTGTTTGTAGTTGAAGTATTCCTGAGTTTATGATAGTTAACTGTAACCCAGTGGAGGAGGTTGGATAATAGTATTTGAGAGTATACCTCTAGATTGTGTTTCATTGGGATAAGGTGGTTCCATTTTTATGGGCCATGGAGTGCCCTACCCTTCTATCATTATCATTGTCCTCTCTTAATAGTTGTATTAAACTTGAGGTTTCTGCAGACCACTCAGATTGGATGCTGCAATTGGTAATCAGTACATTGAAGAGCTCCTTGAAGGAAAACATATGTTTTCTCTGCTTTTACATCGTATCTGTTCAAATCAATATGATGGAAGCATCCAAATCAAACACAGTGTCATTTGTCTTCAGAGTTGAACTAAAACAAGCTTAAAAGGGCTTTTTTTCTGTTCATGCCAAGATGCGAATTCTGATTGTAGATTGCATCATTCGGGGGAAAATGAGGGGAACCCTTGCCCTGTTCATAGTGGTTAAACCCTTCTGCGTGCCAAACAATGGCTACAGAAACAAACCTTTTTGAGCTTGTTATAGTTGAGCTCTGAAGACAAATGACATTGCGTTGGATTTGGATGCTTCCATATTGATTTGAACAGATACAAATCAGAGAAAACATGTTTTCCTTAGAGGTGCTTTTTAATGATTAGGTGGTAAGGACTTTCTCGGTTACTTAGGAAATTTCTCTTGAATGGATGTTAATACAAAGCGAATGTACTCACTGATTTCTATTTCTATAATAGCCTGGGATATTTGTAACTGCAGGTGTTTATATCTGTTCAGCTGATCAATCCTGATTAAAAGCTGATGTATACATTCAGCCAGCAGATTTCATATCTCTGAAGTTGTTGAAAATGTTTTGTTACAGTAATCAGATTTTTACAAAGAGAAATTAATTCAGTCATCTTAAGTTGGATTTTATTTGTATGAAGGTGTTTATGTTAGTTTTATTCAAATGATGTTTAAAGTATGTTCAGGGGAAATCAGTTGTACATTTGTGGAATGCTATGTTAGATGTAATGAAATTGAAATAAACTTGGCAGGTAGCCTGATCTTATTTTTGAAACTGTAAAGCCAATATTTAAGCAAATGTATCTAGGGCAGTACACCATCGAGTTTGTATTGATTCTTCTACAGAGTAATATTTGATGTTCAGTTCATCTTTGATGTCTTAAGTCATAGAAGCATTTAAAGAAGTGAACTTATTTAAAATATGAATTAACATTTGCAGTTCGCTGAAGACATTCCATGCCCATTGTGTCAATAAGATGTTACAAAGCAGTAGCAGAGACTGAGAATGATATCTTGAGTTAAGCAATAATGTTCATAATCTGTGTCTCAACACAATGACCTTAAGCGTTGTACACCGCCAGCATACCTGTACACTATGCAGTACCTGTATTTGTAAGATACATGTACTTATGAATATTGCTTGTGTAAATGTGAACAAATTAGGCTTTGCATTTAACCTGCAAGTCAAGACAAGAGGTGTGATTCATTGGGTAAAAATGGATAGGGTAACAAAGTATTTGTCAGTATGAAAAGACCTGACATCCAAAGCAAAAGTAGAATGACATTGAAGTTTCTCAACCCTGCTTTAGAATACAGAACAGCATAAGATTGATTATGTAGAATGTACTTTGTACATGGAGGTTTGTAATAGTTGGTAGTCATTAGCACCCTCTGGTTCACCTTACTTGCCCTTGGTTCTTTAGAATGGCACTAAAATAGTACTGAAGTTTTGCTGTGGTCAGAAGTAGCCGTGTGGAGATGTGTGATTTCTGCAAGCTGAAAGTTCTAAACACATCTAAAATGTAATGACAGGAAGGTTGGTGAATATGTATTTAACCACTTGAATGACGCACAAGCAATTTTGAGCAAAGAAATTGCCAGGAATATGAATTGAATATGTATCCTGATTTGACTAAACAGTTTGAAACGTATTGTTTGATGGTGCTCTCTTGCTGGATCATGGATTTGGGGTTTCATGATCATGCGTTCCACTGGCATGTCATACATTTTCAAAATGCAGTGCATTTAGGGAGGACAATTGTTAAGGTGGTTGTCTGATGCTCTAACACTGTATGGTAAACAGCAATAACAGAAATGAAGCAGGTTAGGAATCTCCCGTTACTAGACACTATTTGAAACTCCATTGTGTAATTGTTCATGTGTCGGGAACATATATGGGAATGTGCAAAGAGTGTATCAAGAATACAATGTGTGAAGACACACTGCTATAGAGGAGACTTCTGGACAAAGACAAGTGAAGATGGAGATGTTTTATGCTGGGCATTTGTGCCCTAACATTTGCCAAAATCAAGAAAAATAATAATTCATAAAACGGTGTATTTTTAGCATTGGAATTTGTGGCTTAGTAACTTTTTAAACTGTATACCTGTATGTGGTTTTTGCACTTCATGAGGTTTCGCAAAATGAAATGTGTTTGTACATGCACAACTGTTGTGATTCTTCTTTACATGTTTAATTTCAATGGGGGCGGCTTTCCATGGAAACCAACATAAATTCTGAACAAAAAGAAATCTCCGGTCAAGTTAGCTGTTACCGGCATAGATGAGATAAAGTGTATTTGGAGATGTATGTTGTGGCACTATAGTCAGGGATAGTACACGGAACTGTGGGTCACATTTGCTGGTGTATTTGTCATGAAGTCTCATTACCAGTTGATTTCAAGCCAGTCAAAAAGGGATTTGGTCTCGAGTTAAAAGCCATTCAAATGGTGTGCTGGTCACAAAATGGAATAGAAAGTGAGAATGGAGAGGGAGAAGTGATGACTCTTGATCCTGTCACTTGGCTCTTGTTACTTTGTTTCTTACAGAGGTATTGACAGCAGTACATCTCCTTTTATAGGGCATGCTGTAATGTTTGAAAGTTCTGACTGAAGTCTGCATGGTTTCAAAACAGAATGCGTGATTTATTATGATTTAATGTTGAACTTTATTATTACAAGTGATAGCAGTTTCATATCACAAGGGTTTGCCATGTACATGTACACTGTACCAGATTATAGCAGTTTGATATCACAAGGGGTTTGCCTTATACACGTACCAGATTACAGCTATTCATTGCATCCAGCTTTGGAATAATAATTGTGGCTTGTGATTCCGCATGTGTTCTGCAGGGACTATTCATAACCAACAGCCAATAATCTCAAAGGTACTTACAACATGATCTAGGGCTCAGTATCTTAATTTAACCACTAATAGTTCCTATATGTGACATGCTCTGTCAAAGCCAGACACTTCTGGGTAGAGCTTGAAACAGTCAGAGAAAAACCTAACAACTTAGGAAATGTTCAGCTTTTACAAATTTGCAATCTAAAATATGTCGAAATAATACTTTTTAAACTTTTAGGTCAGCATTTGTCTCAGGAGGTTAATTTAAACACATCTGCTGACTGGCTTCCCAGAATCTTCTGTTTCTGACAGAAAATGCCACACATGAAACAAAAAATATAGGAGCCATGACACTTGTAAAGACTTTTAACTATAGAGTGTGGGGATAGTCATCGAATTTAAAGTAGACATGAACCAGTTGTTTAGTTGGTGTTATGGACAGTTAGTTGATCAGAAAATAAAAGGTTCCATACTGACAATCATGAATGTGAGTTTCAGTTGGTACGAATGATCCCTGCCTTCATTTGACATGGATTAATTAGGACCATTTGAGCAGGGTCACCTAATAAAATAGCTTTAAAATGCACACTGAATCAGTCCATGCCTGTCCAAAGAAAGGAAAGGTTTTGTTTTGGGGACCTATATAAGAAGTACTCTAAGAAATGGCAGGCTGAACATCCCTGACCCCCAAGCTGCTCTCAGAGAGAATGACAACATGAACATTTGTTTGGAGGTCCACACCATGTACTTGTATGCCACAGTTGTGCAGATGAGTCTCATTTCAAAACACACTCCCAAAGCTTGGTTAAATTTGGAGTGAAGCCATAAAACAGAGAACAGTTTTGAAATATGGTCAAAGATGCCTGAAATTGCATGAATCAGGAAAACAATTTTCATGGTTTCAATTTTTTTCATGAAAAAGGCTGCATGTTGAACTTTAAATTTTCAGCCTTTGTAGTTGTGTAAAACATCTCAGCACCCTTGGTGTCTCTAGCTGCTAGTAAGATTTCTGCAAAACTGTTTGCAGCATCTCCACGTTCATAATGAAAGCAAGCACCAACATGGACCATTACCAAAAACAAGTAGGTATTACAAAAAGCAATTGAGAGTAAATGCATATTCAACCCAAGTTTTAATATTCAACTTCATTGACACTTAATAAACTCATGAATAAAGAAAAAAATATAAATATTCCTCAGTGCATCCAACATGTACTTTGAACAGCATTCAGACTGCCCCCATACATTAATATAAATGCTTTCAATTCATCTCCAAATGTATGAAGGTCATGACTCACTTTCAGTGAAACAGTCATGAAGAAAAGAAAATTGAAGTTGAATATTCATGCCATCGTTGGTGCTTGATATGATCCAACAACATCAAATTTAATGCATGTGCAATTGCTTTTATTAGGCTGTGCACCGGAATTTACACAAAAAGGTATTTTATGAGATCTCATAGATCACTCCTTGTGATGAAACAGCCCATTTTGTTTTTTGTGAACTTAACTGTCTTGTGGTGATTAACATGTTGTTGGCCAGTCTCAGCCAAATTTGTACAAATTAAGACTTTGAAAACTGATGTTTTGGACTGACAAAATAAAATTGCAAATATTGCATGGATAATGGAAAAATGCATCAAAATCTTAAAAAAAATTATTCACAATGGCAAAAGAAAATCTAATGTGAGATATTTTTTCTTTCTTTTTTGTCACTGCGATAAGTTGTAATTAATTGCAATGATGTAGTTCGTCTGACTGGGTAGCGATGATCATCAAGCACTTTGTGTCAGAGTTTGTAACTCCTTCATTGTCCTTCCTCCATGGTATAACAGCATACATGTGGGGCCTGGCCAGTATATCAGAACAGGTGCTGGCCCTGTTACAACCATCACAGGTGCTGGCCAGAATAGCAGCACAGGTGCTGGCCAGAATACCAGCACAGGTGCTGGCCAGAATAGCAGCACAGGTGCTGGCCAGAATACCAGCACAGGTGCTGGCCACCATGCCGATGGATTCCTTTTGTTTCTTCAATTTTTTAATATATTTTTTCAACTGAGAATACTTTCTAGGTGAGTAGCAAAGACACTAATCGGTATATCTATTTATCAAACAAATAGGCTATAGTTTTCTCTCCCCTTCATCATGTTGAATGAACCCAATAGTGCATTTGTATTTGAATCCCTCCCCCTGGCACAACATGCTGGCTATGCCACTGACACTCCTATTACCATGAGTGAACTTTCTACAAACCTTGGCTGCCCATACAAAGTGGTTGGTTGCAATACTTTTAATCAAAAAATGTCCAAAATTGCTATTCTTATTGTCACTGTCGATCAAAAATGAAAACGATACACTACACCAATTTGTATAGCCAAACACCTGTTGAACCAAGTCTCATTGATTCACATTTTCGCTAACTTGAAATTGGTTGGCCATTAATAATGATCATCACAAACAATGGCAACCAAGTGTACTTAAATGTACTCTTTGAAAAATCATAATAAAGACAATTATGCATATCAAACACACAAACCATTCTTCAAGAGTTACACACCAACTATGGGTGTATACAGTATATTCAATTGTGTAATAGCCAATATTTTCAGCACAAAATGCCCGACTCTTGTGCATCTGAAGACTCACACCAGCCACAGATTCCATTATTGTCACTTCACCGAGGCCTGAATACTTACTAATAGCTCACTTTTCCAGCCAAAGAAATGTTTTATTAAATATGAAACATTAAGATGAAACCAGTAATTATGATAGTGAGGATTAATACAAGTGTAAGCTAAGCATGAAGGGTGCATACATGGCTTGATGTTTGCTACCTGGATTATTCAAGCCTAGTGCCATATCCAGCTGGGGGAGGGTCATTTTTTTCTTATCTTTTATTATTTTTTTCATTTTTTATTGGATTGAGATTTACTTCATAGGTGGGCAGGAAAGAAATCAATCGAGCTATTTATTGTTAAATAAATCACCTATATCCCCCCTTATCATGTTGAATGAGCCCAAAAGTGCATCTGCTATTGAATTCCCCCTCCAGAAGCTAGATATGCCACTGTTCAAGCCCAAGGCACCCCCCTCCACCAAACACAAATAAAAAAAAACATAAAAAGCAGCCTGAAACAAAGGTAAAACGAATTGAATGTCATACAAGCACTGTGAAGGGAAGGCACATGTATTTCATAGTGCTATTCATTATGCTTGCCTTATGAGTAGGACATCATCAACAGGCCTTGAATGATACACATAGCAACTTTTCTGTGCAAGATAAATGCAAAAGCACGAGTGTAAGATGGAAACAAGTTGCTTTGTGAAATAAAACTAAAATTAAAATAATACAAAATAAACATCTTTAAACATCAAATAGCCGGCTTAATTTTATATGAATCTTTGCATAGGTTTAGATCACTGTATATTCAATACTGCTTGCACTCAAGCAGATTTTAACTTGCAGCTACAATTTATTGCATTTGTTCTTACTGTATCTTAAGTTTCATTGAGACTAAAAAAGTTACAACACGGTAAAAAAAAGAACAGAACACAATTTCTATGAGAAGGAAATATCTGCTCATTGGTTATGGCAAAATGACTTGACACAATACACGTGACACTTCAGCTGCTCTTTGAAAATGACTATTAAATTTGCAAATTTCAATCTAGAGAGCATCGACAGAAACAAATTTAAAAAACCTACAACAGATGAGGTACATGTATAATGAACAGTCTAGTGCATACTGGTGTCCTCTTTGTACACTGTTGGAGATGTAAAATACTTCTGTAGATTAGATGAGATTAGTTGGGATTTTGACCATTCAAGACATTTCCTATTACCACCCCAAATCCTCCCAAAACAATAAGTTAATTATTATTATTATTTTATTTGGCATTACAATAACAAATACACATCACCACACAAAAAAATGCAAATATAAAATTAGCAGTACAATAGGACAAACTAGTGTCAAAGGGGGTTTGGGGGAAAACTGAAATTTGTATCACGGTTAGTATGTTTATGACATACATGTAGAATATTGAAGGTGTAATCCTAGAACCTCTTTCTAAAACCCTTAATTTTGTCAATTTTCTCTACTTAATACTGCCTTGTCATTTTGAGCACTGGTGACACATTATAAAATACATGTTTTGTATATACATCCTGCCAACGTCTTAAGTTTTGTCTTCCCAAATTTCAAAGGGATTTTACATTCTGGTAATAAAACACTAATCTCTGTTTATCTACATTTGCATATCAGCTCATGCGCGACAAAATCTCACTTAAAAAGTTGCCCAAGCCACACCCTCCGCGCCCACTGCATGTCCCCATACAAAAAGCTGTGTAACACTGAGATTTGTCCCAGATGTTTTTTTAAATTGCCTTTTTTGGGGGGGTGGGTGTTGAACTAGGAGGGATGCTAAACAAAGGTGAGTGTTTTCTTACTAAAATGGAAAATCCCTTTGGATATCTCACCTCTGTTTACCTACATCTGCAGAGTTTATCGTCAGATAAAGAGTTGTGAGGGAAGGGACATGTAGGGCACCAAGGGTCTAAATTAAACCTATTGAATTAGGAAAAAGGTTGTTCAGACATACCCGGGTGCTGCCTATCTAGTTGTGAGGAACGGCAGCTTTTTGGGGCTTTGCAAGTTGCTGATCGGCCAACCTCTTGGAGGACTGTCCTGCCCATGAGACCCTTTGTTTGAAGGTGGTTGGATTCTTCCAGCAGGCAGCTTTTATTACATCTGAAACAGAAACGCCAGGCAGGTGGGCCCAAGATGTTGATTTGCTGCATGTCATCTGGGCCTTAGATTTCAATCCTCGATTATCGCGAGGACTTATAATTGCTGCCGATATCTATCGGGTGATGGTGGTCACAGAGGCTGGATGATGTGGCTGGATGGATGTGATGAATAACTGCTTGATGTTGCCTCGCAATGGCTGAGTACGAGTAATGTACATGTAATACTTAAGGACTTGTAAGGGGCACCACCATTTCTCTTCCTCCACTGATGAAAATGCTGTCAGGCTAGGTACAAAGATGTCTGGGGGAGAGAAATCAGGTGACTGATTCTTGGTTAGAAACTCTATGTGTGGAAAGAGACATACATCTCCACCACCAGGTTCCCAGCGAATGTGGCTTGGTTCATTGGACAAGGCATGGAGTTCACTTCTGCATCAAGCTGTTGCGGTAGCCACCAGAAATACTGTTTTTATGGTGAGTTGATGCACAGAAGCAGCCCCTGCCGGTTCAAAAGGAGGCTTGGAAAGTAATGATAGGATGGTACCTAGGTCCCACGATGGGATGAGTTTCTTGGTAGGGGAGTTCTATAAACATGGCCGTACTTGAGGATATGGTTGATCTATCATGGAACTCTTGATGAATGGCACCAATGGCCGATCTGTAACCCTTGATTGTGGAGATATGAAGACGGGAGTTAAAGAGGTGAGGAAGACAATCCCCAATGGAAGTTACAGATGCAGAATGGGCATCGATAGCACTCTCCTTGCACCTCTTGGTGAAGTGGAGAAGTAGATTATCGTAAGTTCGTCTGGAGAATTCCTGCTTTTTGCCGCCAAGGCAGTGGCTTCTTCCGAAAGGCTAGCTGCTCTGAAGGAGATTTTGACAGCATCCAAGCACAGAGATGAAGAGAGGCTGGATCCAGATGTACAATTTGAGACCTGGATTAAGTCAGAAGGTCTTGGTGAATGGGGAGTCTGACTGGAGAATGAACAAGCTGGTCCAGGAGGTGAGGTAACCAAGGCTTCCAAGGCCAAAATGGGGTGATGAGAATAACTCTGGATACTTCTGTCTCTATTTTTGCTAGTATTCAATGCAAGAGGGAAATTGGTGAGAAGGGTAGGTGTGACTTCCCATCCAGTCAAAGCTGAGTGCGTCTGCTTTCCAAGCCTTGGAATGAGTGTGTCGTGAGCAAAAGGTTGGAAAGTGGTGGTTGAGATGAGATGCAAACAGATCCACAAGTGGTGTTCCAAGAACGAGGGTGAAACTGCTGCGTCTACCCTGCAACAAATGGCTGGGAATGTGACCACGTGGCTGACATTTTGTGGCTTAAATATGCCGACAATGTAGGTGGTGGTGCCCTGGGCCTCTGTGACCAGGTGGGGCTTGCTGGACGTTTACTTAACTGCGTGGTTTTGAGTGCCAGGCCCCATCGCCCTGTAAGAACATGGATGTCCGATTCCGCTGCTTCCATGTGCTCCTGGAGGCTACTGAAGGTGTGCGGGATTTGTCAGGGAACAGGTCTGCTTGTGACTAGTCGCAGCCCCAAGGAATTTCCAACTGCTGAACCTGGCAGATGAGACTTGGTTGGTATGGTGGAAATATCATGCTTGGAGGGCCAATCAGACTTGGAGGGACCAGGAGATTTGCCAGGAACATGGCTTGAACTTACAGTTCTCTGTCATGATTTTGCGATCTCCACCATTCTTAATCTAGAACACAGCGAGATTGCGTATGCACGAAAAGCACTATTGCACTCTGCATTCGCACGATATGGACTGCAGGCGTTGCTGAAAAAAACACTAGGACGATATCTTAGGGTTGCACAGCCTTTTGTATGGGTACATGCAGTGGGTGTGGCTTGGGTGACTTTTTCAGGAAGGTTTGTTGCACATGCACCCTGATATGCCAATGTGGGTAACCAGAGGTGAGTTGTTTTCTGTACTGGAACTTCATTTTGTTTTGCCATGCATACGAGTGACTAACAGTCATCCTATGGGTAGCACAGTATCAAAGCGATCCATATGAAAGTCATTTGAGTGATCTTACATGCTTTTCCTTTTCAACAACATATCACGATACGGACCCAGCAGCTTTTTTGGGCAAGAAAACCTGACATTAACTGGAAGTATGTACCTATATCTGCAAGCTCAAAAATCTCAGGGAACTGCACCAACATCATCACACACTCTAACCTGCTTCAATTAGGCACTTTGTTCAAATACTGATTTGTACAGCCTGGGTTGGTGGTTTGAGCAGAAACCAACTAGGATGACTTTCCTGATGTCCATAAGTATGTCTGGATGGAGCGTGCTGGCACTTGGGCATTGATGTAACCAACAGATGCATCATAGATGCTGAGATTTTTAGTTTCATCAAACCTGTTGACATCAATGAAGTCCAAAATAATTGCATATCAGTCAGCGTCAAGCAGCTACAATTTCAAGTTTCATCATTTTGGGCCATGCTAAGCAGTTATATGTATAAAAAAGACTATTTGAGCAAATGCTTAACTTTACAAAACAACCAACTCTTGGTGTTTGAACTGGCATGGTATTTTGACAGAAATACCTGCTTACAGTGTTGTCTAATGTGTTCCATGACAACCATTTAATCGCTTGTCCACATGCACTTTTAGTATTGAAGACACACACAACTGCATGTACATTTCAAGTAGACCTCTGCAATTAAGCAGGGTGATAACAAGCACATGTAGTCTGTAAGGCTTTTTTCACCTTTGTGGCAGAGTTTGAGGAATCCTGACAACCTGTCTCATTTTATATGCATGCAGGGAAAATATGGTTCCAGTACTGAAGTCTAACGTTTGATGATATTAAGATGAGATAAAAACCTACCTATTTAAAATGACTGCTGCGAGTGTATTACCATCAGGGATTTTAAAGGCAATACTCTCAAGGTCGTTGTCCTTTGACTTGGTCATTCCAATATGCACAGAACCTGGGGGAATGAACTTGCTAAAAAAGCAAAGGAAAAACACTGTAAATTACTTCCCTTGAGCTACAGTATACATGTACATGCATGCCGGTGTAGCACAGCCCAACACTGCATGACACCTAGTCATTAACACCTATTGAAGATGAACAAAGCACACTGTTTGAAATATCAAGAACTCTTGTCACGAAAGAGAGTTAGTCTATGGTGTATTCACACTTGCTTCCTTATCAAAGTTGTGACAAATCTTGTCTTTTTGATACCAGAGGTGGCATACATGTAGTTACCCCTTCTTTGTTTACACCAAACCTACTCATGACATCATATTCTCGACAATAATAAATGTTTGTCAAATCACAATCGTAAACAAAGCCGGAGCCATAATATACCATTCAATATCCCGATATGAAAAAAATCTACTCACTCAAATTCAAAATGCCTGGAAAAGAATAAACCTCTAGGTCTGGAAATGCAACCAGGTATGGCCTCTGTCATACTAAATACATGTAACTGCTTTTTATCATAAACCAGAGAGTGTAATGAGCCAATGATGTCTGTCAATAATCCATCCAACTTGAAGCACCTCCTCACTGGCAAAGAAAAGATTGGTCGGTAGGAACTGTTTCATTTGGGCACTTACTGCACATGAGAAGACCATGTATATTCCAACCGTAATTGGTCATGCTGATCATCAGTGCTGTTGCTGATATGTAAAAGCTCACAACCTGTTGTGCCCACATGGAGCGGATTACATCCCCAAAAGTTCTAAAAGATAACACTATTTGGAGTTCTGGTACAGCTCACCCACCTGAAATGACCTAGGTGATAAAACATTGGCTGTTTGTAGAAGACATCATTGTCTGCATCCACTATGATGGGGCTGTCAACTTCATTCTTGGCCCAGTTAGGTCCTCCTTGCATATTCAGAGCTAGATTCCAGTCAGTCCATCCTGTGACCCAGTTATTCAAGTCCTATATACATGTAGTAGAGGTTAAAGATATAACAAGTCACTGTATAATGCAAAAGTAATTGCAAATGGCCTAATCATCCAGTGTTAATGATTCTTCAGCTTCTAAAGACCGAGTAAAATACTCTCAGATTTTCTTTGCTTCTTTATATTGAATACTTGTATACTGTAATGGGGTGATGGAAGGCCCCTTGTTTTGTACAGATGTTTTTCTTTTCTGTTTTCCTTTAATCCTTGTAGTTGAGTATCAATATCAATTACATGTATCGATTGTGAAATGTGTAACCACATTCATTAGTACATGTACATGAAATAACATCTTCGCTTCTATTAAATTACAAGGTTTAAGAAGGCTAGCACACTTTCTGCAGAAATTCTCAAACCAACCTCAGTGCAAGGTCACAGGATTCCCGGATCTGATAATTTTGCTCAGTTCCTCTTGTTCATTTGGGTCAATTACCTGGTCAGGTGTCACTAAGATGGGGGCTTGAGGTGACTACCTGTCCAGTAAAGATGGGGGACTGCCTAATGGGACACACTTGCTCTAAAGTCTGTGCCTTCAACTTCTTTGCTCTGATGCTGAATTTTACTGCTACGTGTAGTTTATATTCAAGTTTATATCAACTTCACAAGGTAAATACACATTTAACTATCTTTTATTAACTTATCGGAAGGGATGGTTCTTGCATCTTGTTTAACAACACTACAAGTAATTATATTATCTTTATATTTTTGACTGAACGCATTGTTTTGGGATTTTTTAGTTGAAGTATTAGGGGTATACGACTTTGCATCTATAGTGTTATAAAAAAACTGATTATTTTGTGTTTGGAATGTGTTTTGTGAATTGAGGGACGATTGAATGAAAGTAGTTTCTTGTTAAAAATTTAGGTTTTGTTCAAGCATTTGTATGATTTTTGTTAGTGGATTTTGTGGATTTAGACTTTAAAACGTGTATTCCACATTCTTTTAAAATGAAGATGGAAGTATAGATTTGGACATGCCAAAAGCATTTGTGAGTATTCGGTTTGATTGAAGTGTTTGAATGGTGTCAGGGTTTAGCTCAAGAATATACATGAGAATTGCAAAATATCCCTGCACTCTAGAAATGGTTGCTCTTGTGCAGATTTTCCAATGCTCAAATGGTTATCTTAAGCTGGTTACATTCTATGTTATAAGTACCAACTGTCATGATTTCATATGGATGTACTGACACTTTAGGTTAACAGGTGGGGGAAATCAATTAGGAGTTGATTCATGGCAGCAATTATAGACCTTTTACTCAAGTAGTTTATTATACATGTACTTATAGGATCCTCATAGAGGCCTCTTGAACTTGTGATAGGTTGGCACAACCAGGTTAGAGAGGCACCTTGACCTTTGGGCTAGCTGGGCAAGCTGACCCGCCATCCAGTGTCTATTCCAAGAGACTGAATGGGGTATGTCCGATCTTTCAGTAGTACTCTTTTAATTTATATACTACACTGAACTTGTTCCAGATTTCTTTACCTGGACTGGGTAAACCACCCACTAAAGACTTCATTTGTTTCAATTGGTGTTTTATTGTCTTGAAACTGATGCAGTATGTGAACTAGTTATTTGAACAGTGAAGATTCATTTTGTTTCTTTTTGAGAATATGATCGAATTAATGTCCTTGACTTGAACATAATATTTCAATATAGCCTGGTCTATAAATGATGAACTGTTGAAATGTAACATAAAGCACTTACAGTTTTGTGGTTCTTTACTTTTTCCTTGCATCGTCATTTTGTTTTCATATTTTGCGTATAGGGTTTTCTTTTCTTTCGATTGTAAGGACACTCACACTCACGTTTTATTGAAGTCCATTCCACCCCATCCTGGCCTCTGTGTCCCAAATTATTGGGTTGTTGGAATTTGGGCTCACAATACTTTTGTACCATAAATGGCAGCGCATCAACAACCCAACTGCTGAACAAACATACTGTACATTGTATGTTTGTGATTTCCATATAAATTTCATTAAATAGCAAAGATCAGGACCTGGGTCAAGGATGGAGATTTGAACTTTTTAATATTAGGGAGGACAGTACTCTCCCTGTCATGGAGAAGGACAGTACAATACTAAACAATACGGAGGGTATAAGATTACTATACTCTACAATGAGCAAGGCAGTGGGGATTGTACTCATGGCTTGAAGACAATTATCTAAACCCCTGAATATGGCAGAAACTGAACCCAGAAAAACTAGGCATGTATGTGTCAAAGCACTCACACTGCAACTCCCAAAAGTTGTTCAACAAGCTTTGGAACACTTGGGCTTCATCTCCAAGCAAGCATGGAGGAGCAGAAGACTTGACATCATCGCAGACAAATACACAAAAACGTGTTCTAGGTTAACATGACAAGCATACATGTACATGTACCTACCTGTATGATGTCATGACTGTATGCTTCTCCTCTCTCCCAACTGCCTAAAACAACAGCTGGAGAATCAGGCAAGTAACCATTGCTGGCTTCAGTAGCAAGCAGAAACATGTCTGGAAACATGTTGTGAGTCGCAGTCAAGCGAGACGCAAAGTCAAAAAAGAAGTCAAAGTACCAATGAACAGCTATTCCTGACACATACTTAGCAGCTTCTGCATCGGATAACACCTGTGTGGGAGAAACAAAGATACACACATGTAGGTAACTCACAAACAAGTTCAACTACAAAACGTTTGCTGGTGATACAGAAGTAAACAAGGGAAACTGACAAGTTGAATAACCCAGCTTGGTATTCCAATAGCATATGCACAAATTAAAGTGGGCCCTAGTTTCTATGGGAACAGCAACGTGTGCCTGAGATTGAAGACCATGCCTTTTCAAAATAGCCAGAATAGATGGTTCATAAAGAGACAGTGCAGTTTTCCTTGTGTGTACACATGCATTGCTGGGATTTATCTCAAAGTATGTACAGACATGTACTCAGTCCATGAATTAATTGATCTCAGGGTTCCAGGTGGAAAATGTGAAGTAACAGCAACAGCTTTCACTAAAATGTGCTTGCGTAGTGCTAAATACTTGCCGATTGCTCGGGATTTGACAGCTGAAGTTTGTAAATTTGGCAACAATTGCAATTCACAGCTGGAACTTGGACCACAGAGAGGAGGACAAATCCCAGTTACTATGTCTGTGTGTCAGTAAGACTTGAACTTGAACTAGTTGTATTATCTACCAGTGAAGGTAGTTGGCAGCTATATGTGACTATCTCTTTTCGGAAAATGGGTAGTTCTAAAAACAAAGTCATTTAAAACTTTGTGCATTTAGTTTTTGGGGTATTTTGACAAATCAACATTCAAACTGAATTGTTAACTCATTTAAAACTTTTCAAATGGGCCAAAAAGAAAAAAAAATCCATGACTTATAACATAAAAGAAATTTTAAACTGAGAATAACGGGCATCCGGATTCCAAGTTTCCATACAGTTCAATATGTTCAAGTCTTTACACTTAGTCTACAGAATTTAAGAAGCACAGGTTTACTTACTAATTCAACAACTGGAAAGAGAACCATGGGAAATCAAAAGCACACAATCTCATTGGGCATATTATTTCATTGATATCAGGAATTTCTGTCCATAGTGAGTTTGCATTTACTAATTATTTATCCACATGTACCTGTTTAACAAAATCTGGAACAAAAAGTCTCTGATCATCTAGTATCATCAACTTGACATTGCCATAGCCAGCCTGATGTAGAGCTGGTCCAAGGTCCATCTTGATAAAATCTTTCTCCATCTCTGGATTGTAGTACATAGCCTGCCATTTGTTATCAGTGCCTCCTGCGGAGGGTTCATTCTCCACAGATACGCCCCACATGCTCAGGTTATGCTTCTTGTACTCATCCAGAAACCTACAAGGAATTTCAAATTGCAGATGACTCAGTAAAGTTTGGTTGTACCTTTCTGATCAACTTCAGCCTAAGTCATGTAAGTGATGTTGACTGTGAGCACACACATTTCAGAATTTGTTATAACCGCTTATTTCAAGAATGATGAATGTGCCATTGATTTCTGTACTGAATACCTTTACAGATGACCGACTACACTCCTCTACTTACATGTTACTCTTTTTCTTCTCCAAGCAAAATAATAAAAGAAGACTTCCAAACATGGAAGACATAATAACTACCGGTATGATGACGAGAAGCCAATAAGCCAACCATGATGCAAGTTTATGAAAGCAGGAAGCAATGAGATGGAGAAAGTTTGTCAAGTGCAGGTCCTCTTAATAATGACGATAAATTATGGACAAGATAACTCTTCAGTGAAAAGTCCAGACACGTGACTTGGTAAGGAAAGTAGTCACTTTATTATGAACCATCCATTTGAAGGATTGACGACTGTTTGGCTAAGGTTTTGGAGGGCAGAAGGGGAAACCTGTTTCACATGCACATGTACCTGTTCAAGAACATTTGTCTCAAAAGGACACTTGTATCAAACTCTTCTAAAGCAATTACCTCTTATCTTTAGTAACAATGATTTTTCTCCAAACTGCAGCTGCCAGGATATGGCAAGCCTTATCCAATCTCAGCTTTGTCTCTATGGCCTCGGCTTCATCTCAGGCATGCATACAAATCATTTTCAAGAGTTTATTGATGGAACCAAATAAAAACATTCAAATTTTAATCACATCGGACAATCTGATGTTTCTGAAGAAAGTGAGGTGCAAATAGACTAAATTCTCACATCAAAGGACTACATTTGGTTGAAGGAAAAGTTAAGACCCCTCCTTGTGAACTGCTTGGATTACACTGATTACATGAAAACTTTATGGCAAAGGTAACTCCCTTGTTAGCATGTTGCAAGTATTCATACAGGTAAGTATGCATACCAGAACCCTGAAGGTCAAATCAGCAATTGTGTCTATGTACATGTACGTGGGGTCTTTCTTTTAAATAGGGAGCCAAATGTGTGGCATGGTGGTCAAAATTTCAAAATTGTCTAAAAAAATTCAAAACTTGTTGATATGTAATTGATAATGCATTCATGCAATAAATGCAAATGATTTTTGGTTTGAATAACTACATGTACTTGGCATGTACAGACTCAGTTTGTCCAGTGGTGCAGCATATTATTTGACGTGTAACAGGGAAACCAAATATGATGGTTCTATGCATGTCATTTTTGGTTCGTAACGGTTTCTTTTCAACTGTTGCCAATTTTGTTTTGTGTACATACCATACACTGTATATTCTCATCACAAGTTGTTTTTTTCTAGATAGGGTTTCAGGCAGCATAAAAATGGGCAAACATTTTCCCAAAAAATTCACTTTTGGGCTATTTTTTGAATTAGTTTGGAAAGTTTTGTTTGGTTTAACTCAAAGATGCTTAAATAGCAAATATATAGCACAGCTCATAGGTACATGTATGCATGCCATTTAGCTTGTGCACCTTTGAAGTGTTTTGAAGTTTTTGGTTTAAAGAGCTTTATGACTCATTTCATGTGTAACAGAGAAACCGGTTTATCAGTTACACGTTGGAAAATTGTCACAATACAAACATTAATTTACACTGGGAACTGCATTCAATTTTGTTGTAACAATGACAACAACATTTCATGTTTCCAGTCAATGAATAGCGATCTCAAATAAATTAGGGATACAAATATACTCTACAACCTGTCCATATTTCCAATGAATGGGAATTAATGCGAAGCAATTTTGATGTCATAAAGCATTACAATTGTCACCAAACATTGCACATATTACAGTGGATTCAACATTTGTGAATAAAAAAAGAAACCTTTTATAATGAAAATGTAGAAAAACTATGGACTGGGGCATAAAAAAGAATTCTTGTTAAAAGGAGAATCTTGTATTTAAAGTGCTGTTATTAACGAGGTTGGACTGTCATGACTGAATGCGTAGTCGCGTACATGTATATAAACTTGTCACGCACCCACTAGCCTACTTGAAAGTTAAAAACATAACTGCTGTCTTCACTGCATAATGAAGAAAATTTCAAAGAATTCAGAGTTGCAGAGATACATGTACTTAGATGCCGGTTCACATTTTTATGCAAGTGGAATGCAAAGAAAGTTTGATGTCACAAAGCATTTATGCCAAAAACTTCATGACATCGTTAACAGACATTAGCATACAGGTAAACTCGCAGAATGAAAAAAATAGCGACTTCCACCTCGACGACAAGCGTTTCCAATTCAAAGAGAAAAATGTTACCTTTCTATGCTCACTTTTATTTGTGAGTTTTAAGAGGCTACCATGCTCCTTCTTTCGGCAAATACGTCAGGTAAATTTTGCCTTCATGTCTTGCAAAGAAACACACACCCTGTAACTTTTTGTCACAGCATAACGTGCGAGTAACGAAAACTTCGATTAAAATTTCTCAATGATGAAGGAATGGTGGGAACTTGGCATGTCTTTGTCATGTGATGATCACATGACAGCACATGCAGGCTTGCAATATGATCCCAACTCGGGCAAACGTAAGTTGCACAAAATTTTTTGTTTACAACATAACGATTTCAAGAGTAACCAAAATATTTTTTGACAAGAATTGCCACTCTGCCAGGGATATCTTCAGAAATGTTTGGAATCTCAGATACAAGTTAGTAGGAGATATTTTGGGGGTATTTGGAGTTGATATTTTAGGTTTTCAAAATGAATAGCAATGAATTTTTTTTTAACAGCCAAAAATGTTTTTCAATTCGTAACAACTGGAGGAACGAAATGTTACGTTGTTATATCAGATTATGACGGCACCTGTATTCCCAATTAAAATGAATTTCATTTGGAGATCTGATATCATAATTTACCTTTCTGTTGAAAGCTTAGTTAGAAAATAAACGATTTATTTGTTTTGCCTGTGGTATGAAATGTCTATGAAACAGGTCATCAAAAATGTCACTCAGAAGACTAAAAAAACAGTGAGAAACGGTGAGGTTTTTCCCCTGCAATTATTGTATTAATCAACATTTTTTAATGTAAATGAATTTACTGTTGTCAACACACATTAATTGACAAATGCATGTGAAAATTAAATGGGAAAGTGAAACTGGTCTTGTTTTAAATGGTCATGATAATTGTGATGTCCCTGAAATACACAGTGGCCCCCATATTAAAAGAAAGACCCATATACCTGTATTTGATCTGCTCATGATGTGCATATAGCATCCATTCAATAAGTGCTCTCAACAGCAGTCCTCAAAGTGATGACTAAAATTGGCACCAGGAAGCCAGAAAGACTTTACCTGACAAAGTAGTTAGCCCAGGTCTTGTGGTACTTATCACCAGCCTTGCCCTTTAGCTGACCTTTCCCATTCATTTTGCCATTTGTTTTCATCCAGGCAGGTGCTGACCAAGGAGCTGCAAATAGCTTCACCTCTCTCTTAGCCATGGCTAAGGAACGCAGAATAACAGGAATCTGGGTAAAGGCAGAAATACTAACCTTTTTACCATGTTTACAACATGTACATCAAAACTAATGTGTACAGTATGATTCTCAGAGCAACCTAATCAACCAACTGAGTTAAATGTGAAGAAAACTGACAGAGTTCTGTATAAGACAGAAATTGTCAAATTCTCACACATTTAGCACCACATTAATAGAGGTTTTTACATTGTAAGTTACTGACGTTCTGAGCAATTAGGTCACAAACTGATTTGGAATGGGCTTCTTTTTAACCATGTGCATTCAATGTTCATGTAGTGGAGTAAAAAGGGAAAAGGTCTGACACACAGTGCACAAATCTGCTGCTTTATCATTTAGGTAATTCAAACCAAAAGATAAAACATTTGAACATATTCAGAACAAAGATATGCCAAACATGGTACAAATTAAACAGTCACTAAGCTGAAACTAGCCCCCCCTTGTTTTCAAATTAACAAGCAGTTGTACAGATTAGTAAAATAACATCAAATTTATTAAATATTGGCTTTGTGTGTCAAACATTTTAGTGTGTGTTCTACAAACAAAGGACTGGCACATTGTTTCATTCCTTGGGCCTTTCATTGTTTCTACATTAACTGATTAGATTACCTTGAATTTAGTATCTTCCTCTGCTAGAGAAAAGTTGTGCAGAGCAAAATCATTGGGGACAGCATCGTACGAGTATTCACGAAGTGAGAAGTCACAGCTGGCCATAGGAATGCGACCAGTGGTGTACTCAATTCCTTAAACAGACATAAATTACAGAATTGAAGAGTGCATTTTGGATATTGAGGAATTAGATTGATTCCATACAGACTGCTTTTTACTGCAAGATTTAATCACAAAGGGAAACCCAAATTAAAACAGTGCTCACAGATTTAATGATGTTGTTCTAATCTTTTTCTGTGGAACAAAAATAGCGTTAACTGTCCTTTTCTACCGGTATGTGGAGAACCGATTCACAAGAAGATACCATTGCAAAAGTTCCTTCACAATCTGCAGTGTCTTTTAGGTCTTACGGTTTGTGTATCCAGGGGTTTAAGAACATCCTACACATAATAAGGTGGTTGTTTTAAGTCTCCCTAACCTTCCACAGAGTAGTAAGACCTGAGTAGATTTTCTTGAACCTTGCTTGATACATTCAAGATGTTCATAGTTGCTGAGTCAGTGAAGGCTCCACCAAACCCCACAGTTCTCTGATATTCTTCAGAGGAATTTACAGTCAGCACCATTTGTTTGTCTGTAGATAAAGAATATGTACACAGTTCTTCATAAACAATTGGTTAACAAACATCATGATTCTGCTGCCTTGTGAAAAACAGACCAACAAAACTTCTGCGTCAGTTTATCACGAACATTTTTCTGCCAAGGTGCAATTGTGGAAATTTAAGGACGTGTCAAATTTCTGCTTAAAAATGAAAAGAATTCGAATTAAACTAAAATGCACTTCATCTATTCATTTTCAATTTTTTTTTGATGCATTTCAAAACATTGGATACTGAACTAATAGGAAACATCCATTTATGAATTACACACACTGGCTCACAATGATGGCATATCCAAACTTTATTATACACTTTCCACTCTGTGCATGAACAAAAAGTGGCAGCTTTCACGCAGAAAGACATCCCTAGAGGGAACGTGGTGTACCATATGTGCACAGTTTCACGTATGTTTGACTTGCTGAGCGTCTGTTGGAATGAATGGTCATGTGTTTGTTGGGTACCAAGTTGAAATGGTTCCCATCACTCTCTTCTCTGAGGGTGGGGGAGCCTTCTACGCACAGTGGATGCCACCACAAACTGTACACATACAAAGTTGTGCTAACATTTTCAATACTTTTTAATAAAGTGTAATCACCTGTGATGTTGGGCTTGGATGCAATGGGATATTGAGACTTGGTAAACCTTTGTTCATCTTTAGTGCTGGTAACACAAACAAAAGAATTTGCTGGGATGTCCTCAACTCTTTGGATGGTATCACAATAGGTAGCACTACACTCACAGACATACGAGGTCGTAAGTGGGAAGTATTTTCTTTTGCATGCAACATCTGCAACAAAGAATGGAAACTTATGCTTGCAATATTAGAACAAAACTTTCTTAAAGGTTAACAGGAACAGAAAACATTTAGTTCACGTGAAGTATTTTAAAATAACAATAAATATGTAACCATTTCAGAAACATCGTAAATTTAATGTTTACCCAGTTAATTGTGACCCCAAACATGCCAAATGAATAAAAAGATACTACGTTTCCCCACCCACAAAAAAACCCTTTTGGCCATTCACGCTCCAAGGCTGATTGGATGGTGTCATTGCCAGAACGCGGACATGTACAGTGTACATGTACACTGCGCACAGTGCATGCAGTATTGCATGATTGCAATAGACCATGTTGTGTTTGATGTAGCTTGGCTAACAGGCAAACGCGATCTCAGTTCAAAGCAGAAATTAAAAGACACAGTCCTACTGTGTATTTCTTGAACTGCGACCATGTTTGCCTGTGGGCCAACTTCTTGATGGATTTTGTGAGACTTGGGATGAAAAGCCAAGGGAGATGGTGTTGGATTCTGTGTGAGTTGGGACAAAGAGGGTTCATTGTGTGCAGTGTCTGGCTTGCTGTACCAATTTTTGGACTATGCTTGATTTTGTCAGGTTGGTACTGTTCAGTGCAATTCATCCTAGATACACCATAGACCCATCCATACCATATCACTCAAACTCCAACGGGCTCATTCTGTTGGAGTTTATCCGGTTTGGTACAGTGACTACATGCAGGTCACCTACATGTACAAGTATAAAGACATGTACATGTACATGTACGTATCTGTTGGATTATGTGAGGTTCAGTATGCTATCCAGTGCAGGAGCCTAGGGGGTTAGGGATATCAAGAAACACTATTACCGAAATCCACTGTATCATAAATCTGCATTTCATGTATTCTGAGATTAAGATAACTCAAGGTTGTGATAACTTGCTTTTGAGCAACAGTAATTTACTTGTACCAGTACTTTCTTTCTGTTGTCCCGAGCCTGTATAGTACCGGTAGTTGTTTTGCTTTGTCTCACACATTGAGCATTTTGGTGACCAGCGCTAGTTTTTTTCACACACCTGCATACTTCCCTCATACACTCAGTTTTCCATTTCCTTTATGACCATGTTTTTCACGTTTGTCGAGTTGCCCTTTCATCACTCTCTGCGTTTCTGCATTTTTTTCACTTTGATTTTCGATACCGTTATGTTTTGTTTCATTACAGTTGAACAAGTAATAAATGAGGTGTGCACATGTTTACCTTGCATTTGATGAGCTACTGTTGAAGATGACAGATGAAATTCCACAAGATGAGTCAATAAAACCATCCACATCACCCATGATAACTTGGATAAATTATCTGCCATCGTCAATTCTGTTGCTTGTCCTCCACAATATGCAAAATGCCGCCAAAGAGAATCTATTATATTTAAAATTCTAAAAACATTATTACACATACAGTACCAGTATGCATGGTATGTGAAGATTTTAATTGAGATCTGTGAAAAATGATACCATGATTCCATGATACATGTACTGTGATACCCAAATTCTTAATGCTGAGATTTCAAAACATGCGAACAAATAACATGAAAACATTATTGACAAAGTATGCAGGCCTTGATCATCACGCCGCATTAAAATCACTGATTCACAAATAATAGTGTACAGATAAGTAAACCTGTTGGACAGGATGTCTGTGCATGGAGGAAGGAAAGAGAAGATTTGATTGACACGAAAAGCAAAAGAATTCTCCAGTGCAGTCATCAGCATGGTCAATGTGGCAGTCAGTGTTTAACACAGACATATAAGAATGTCTTTCAACTGGAACAAGTGCTACGACGAAGAAAATGGGTGAATGCGATCTACCAGTAGTTGGATTTCTGAAAAGCATTTGACACAGTACCACACATACCTCTTCTCTACAAAATGCATGACATGGGTATAGAAAGGAGCAAGCAGCGAAAAGTTTAAGTGCTCTGCGTGTGTCAAGCGGAAACGGTCAGATTTTGACAGATTTTGAAGTTTGAAATATCACTGAAGCCCCAACCGTTTGACGTTGGCATTTATCAGTGTTTATGGAAGCTAGTAGGTGATGATGGAGGTATTTTTAGTGAGTCTTTGGAATTTTTGAGAACCATTTTCACCTTACTACATGTAGGCCTATATGTACAGGGGTGAAGTGTTCGTATGACGATCCCGTCCAAAATCGAAAAAGCGGAACTAATGTACACGTACACCTCCCAGAGCTAAAAAAAGTAGAAGTACTATTACTCAGTATTTATAAATATTAGGCTGATGGCGAATAATGCTAGCTGGAGACAGTGTTGTAGTCGAGACCAGTTAAGAAGTTCTCCATGTTCACAAGACCACACAAGTCTAACACAAGACGTCAACGTCTGAATTCAAGTCACAAGCTATTCAAATGACAGCAACATAAGCATTCTTTTTAGCTTTGTCATTGTTCACCCTGTGTTACTTGTGACTGATCTTGTGCGTGGTCTTGTGATTGTCTCGACCATGGAGGATCTCGATCATGGTCAGATGTCTCGACTATAACACTGGCCGAAGATTTACCTAGACCTTTAGCTATACAGTACTCACGGTATGTTAAAGAAGAGAACAGCGTTGGACTTGACCACGAGATATACAAAGTATTGTGCCGAAAATGGAATGACAGGTATCGTGGGGGTGTAGGCCTACGAACATGTTTACAATTATTGTGTACGTCACTGCACTCTGGAACCATTCATAGTACTAGCCAACCGTAGCCCGTACCCATAGCTGGCTACGACTGCACGTGTAGCTTGCGCATGCGTTACGCGAACTTCGACCGAGCGTTTTCGAAATGAGTGGATTCTGGTTACCATGGGTTAGAGACTTTGGTTTTGCTGGTTCCAGCCATTTTGAAGCAGTGTTTGACACCCCATGTTCAAGCTCTGACTGGAACCAGCGAAACCGAGTCCAGACGAATTCACTCGTTTCGAAAACGGTCATAGACTCTATTCAAGTCTGATTTGATGCTAAGCGACATAATGCATTGCTGTACATAATGCCTTACATGATGGGTGGGATAGCCAGTTATTATACGTAGAATTAATTACCCAAAAAAGCTGCTGGGGTGTTTTTTTCCTCTACTTTGTAATTAATTTTTATTTATAACGCCCAGATGTAGGGGGGCATAGCTCTTCAAAAGTCTTCGTGTTTCAAGAGTTCAGGCATCAGTACTTTCATTCTTTCCCCTGTTGGTTTTTTTTTTCGACTGCATGCCCTGGTAAAAATTGTGGCGGACACATGACATCTCAACCCGTTTACATACGAAAGTTTTTTTGCAAATCGTTTCTATCAAAGAAATTAAAGGAGTTTATTTTCATGTCCGCGACAAATGAAATCCCAGGTACGTCAATATCATACATACAAAGTGAAATTTGTTATAATTAATGGGAACTGGTGTATTAAATTTGGTAATTGTACATAGTCTAAATTATTACCAACATGTAGAGAAAAAGAAGCACTGAGCTTTGGGCTCAGGCTTTCCCTATTACATTCAGACTGGACAAGAAACATCGGACAGAAGACAGGAGACATACATACACTGGCAGGATAGACCGAACAGTAAGACACAGTATGTTAACAGTTGAGACCAGACTTCAACGGAAGTCGGTAGATGAGCATGATTACATGATCGGATTTTCATTATACAAACTGATAAAGGTAGTAGGTTTTGAGTTTCCTAGTAAATGTATTTAGCGTTGAGAGTCTTGTCAGATCTGGTTGTTCCCAAAGGACACGCATCGTGAGATAAGACTATTTTGGAAACAGAACTGCCCAGTCTAGATGCACTTCTAGGGGGTATGAAGAAACATTGCGGTAAAAGACTATGTTTGTATTTAAAACATAAACTAACCCAAGTTCAAATTGAAACGGTCGTTTAAGTTGCCATGGCCCACGTGGCGGAGTTGTTACCATGTTTATACACATTCCCTTGGGACCTGGCAAGAGGCCGACTCGAAAATCGTTCAAGTTTTTTCTGGTTTTAAGGGGAATCCCCGACATTAAAGGTGACTTAACTAGGCTGTTCAGCATGAAAAAAAAAAGGTAGACAAAAACGGGAGTTGATTGCATTTGGCCATTAATTTTTTTTTGTCATTAAGAAAAATAGTTAAAAAAAACGACTAGAGCGTGGAAGCCATTCGTTTGACGCAAGGTAAAACAAAATGATGTCAATGAAAAACTGAGGGCATATAAACTAAATAGTTTCCACTAAAAAGATCCAATCAATAAGGACAGGCCAGGTTTCGAAATTTGACTGGAAACCGATTATTGCAAATGTGCTTATATATTTTGTTCGGACCGTAACTAGTTGTATTGTGAACTTGAACAAAACTCCCGCTACTAATATATATTTACCAAAATCATTTTTACATTAGTTAGGTCTACTGCGATCAGTATGATTTTTGTTTTAAAAAATAAAACTTACGACTGAGAGGCAAGTCCAGCCGCGCGGTTATCGACAGTCCAGACTGAGGACATCCAACGGCTGTGCAAGTCCGAAAAATTTTTCAATTAGTTTCCTTTTTGCTTTAAAATCCTCCTGATACTGTGTGTACGTGACTGTTTGTGTGGACGGACGGAAGCAGATGCAGAATCACTTGCAGAGGGCGCGCTACATCGAAACAACACCTTTGGCTGTGTGAATTGGGATTCGAAAGAAGCGTCTTGAAAAAGACTAGAAAGTTGAAAAGAATTAAAGTGTGGCTCCCTATTCCTTCTGTACGTTCGGATATGTTTAATTTTATTCAGCAACAGACTGCACGTTGGCCCGCGGAAAAGTTGAAATGCATAAGGCCAGTACTGGCCTCCTGCGTCTGTTAAGTGCTTACGTTTGTCACTGGTGTCAGCATTTTTCCCGGCAGACAACATTAGCCTAGTAATTTTTAGTAATGTATTTTCCTCCTTACTGCGAAAATCTGTATAAAGCAAAATGGACGAAGAAATGGCTCTCACTGAAACGCTTGTCAAAGCCATCCAGCAAGACATATTCGGGTATGTTATCATGCATCATGACCATGTCATGATGAGCCTACAAATACAATTTGGAACATACATGTAGGCCTAGGCCCTGTTATGTACATCATCCGTATAGGCCTGCCTGGCCTAAATCATGCTCCACACTTACATGTACATGTAGTAGTAGGCTGCAGTCATGGCACTGGCAGTTCAGACTTCGCATTGTAGGCGTACATGTACATTCCTGTGTACAGTATAGGCCAAGTCTGGGTAATTTGTGCTGGATCCTACAAATTGCATTTGGACGTTGTCTGGCAGGGATTGTAAATTTGGGGACCCTGTTCCTATACTAGAAGGGAGAGCAAGGCCTACATTTTAACTTTTGAATTCACCTTGGGTGATGACTGTGAGTGTGACATCATGCTCAATAACTGTAGGGTTAATATTGTCAAAAAAGGGCAGGGTTTCGAGTTGTGAGGGAAATTTTGAGGGGAAATTGTGAGTGTGAGTGTTTTAACACATGTATGACACTTGGTGGATTGAAATTTGCATGGCTAGTTTATCAATAAGAAAGTCACATTTTCTCACAATTTACAATTTGAAATCTCCAAAAATAGGATCAGCACAATAAAGAGAGTGTTGCCTTTTTTGGGGGGGGGGGCTTTCCAGTTTTGCAAGATTGAAATGTCAAAAAACTGGGGGGTCCCTAAGCATGCCAAGTAAACAATCCCCTGTCTGGCAATGTCTGGCGATGGTTCAAGTAGGCCTTCAACTACATCATACATGTACATGTACATATGGTGTACTTAAGACTTGTCAGACTACTTGTACCCTGTGAGTGGTGAATCACCTTGTTTTAACATTGAAAGTGTTTCATTCAGATATAGACGTCATTTGAAACCCTGTGTACATGTACAAACCCTATGATGACACTATGATTTCTAAGTACATGTAAATGGCTCAACATTTTCAGTGCTGAATTGAACTTTTTTTACATCCAAACATGGATGTAAATACAACACCGTAATGTTCAAATTTTCATGATAAAGAATGAAGTTGATGCTTGAATGTAGACTAGTCAGTACAGCGTACCGCAGCCTCACCCCAAGCTGTAGCATTCAGAAGACAGCCTTGTAAAGTATTGGAGATGGAGATGAGGTTGGAAGCACTTCAACGGTCTTGTACGGTTTGGGTAGTAGCACCACACAAAGTATCCCTCACTTAGGCAAAAAAAAAACCAGTCGGTCTCTGGTCAGCGCACGCGTTGATTTTGAACGTGTGCATCAATTTTTTTTCCATTTTTTTCTCAAAATTTTCAAAACAGCACCTTCTATTTCTGCATTGCCTGAGTAGACTGATTCCCAGCCACAAGTCCACAAGTCAAAAGGACAATTTGTTCAAGGAACTAATTTGCGGGTCGCTCGTACCCGGTGATAGATCCGTTACGACTGAGTAATGCTGATGTCGAACACAAACAGACCACAGGTACATGTAGGTTACAAAGTTGCAGCCAGCTGATCAACAACAATGGCGGCATGACATGCGACGTGCTACTACTAGCCTTTGCTCTTTGATCAAATATGTCACTCATTTCTGTCTCCGTAGCCAGTCTTAAAAAGCCAACGTCAACCCCCCCCAAAAAAACCACCGCATCGCCACATCAGTTCTGGGACTTTGGTCTGACCAGAGACCAAGTATTTTGGGGGGGCCTATCAGGCTTATCTAAACCAGGTTTGAGTGCCTGGTTCAGCGTGTGTTCAGCTCAGATGGAATTCAGTATAATGCATCCCTACCGTGCCAGAATTTCAGTTAAATCCTTGAAAATCTAATGTTGAGTCCAACAAGAACGTCTTTGTTTTAATTACATGTAGATTTGGAAAGTATGTTAAACCTGATGCTATTTTTCTTTTCCCTCATTTGTCATCAATAAATCAAGATCTTATTTGGATATATATTTTTTCCTTAACTTTTTGTTCACCCCCCAAGAAGTTTTAGTGTTTGTATCAGTTGGGTCATTCAGGTTGAAAATGATGATTTAATACATTCAGTGTGGAAATACCATACCAGTGGGTAATTTTTGGGGGGCTAACTGACCTTTCTAACTAGGCTAAGGATCATAAAGATCACTTCATATTTTGGTATTTTACACATCATGCCCAATAGGTTGGTATGAAACATACATTGTATATTCCATCGTGGTCCTTGATGAAAGAAAAGGCAAAAATTGTTAAGGGAGAGCCCAACCTCAATATATATGCCATACATTTTAGTTGAAATTAAATGAAAATAGGTTTGGGAGTTCATGGTTATACACACATATAATTAAACCGTACTTCTGCTATTGGTATTGACATATCAAAAGTCTGCAGCTCATCACAAATACATTGTATTTCCCAGAGGTAAAATAGAGTGTCAAGTCTTGAAAAAATATATCTACCTGTGTTTCTGTTTGATGATGTGTTGCAAAAGTGGATTATTCTATAAAATAGATGCCCATTTTTTTCGTGTCCCTGTCACATCTGACATGTGATTTTGTAATTCAGAACACATTCTCTAAAATTTCCAAGAATGATGAATTAATGGAAATTACCTGTCAAATAAGAATACATGTACTGTAGTTTGAAATCAATTTCCGTGATATTTCCATGTTAAATTTCACAGGTCAGATGTAACAGGGAGTCAAAAATGTCACACTTTTGGACCCTGAATTTAAGATTGACCACTTATTTGATACATTCAGTATTATTTTATCATCTTGCATGTATGTTAGTTGTCCTCTTTTACCTTTGTATAAAATAAGTATACATTTTAATGGGTGGTCTTGGTCTCTGTCTTGGTCTTGGAAGTCCAGGTCTCTGTCTCAGTCTAGGTCTCGACCTGCAAAAGTCTCTGTCTCAAAGTCTTGGTCCCAGTCTTAAAGGAGTGGGTCTTGGTCTCGGTCTCTGAAGTCAAGGTCTCGGTCTCGGTCTCGACCTGCAAAAGTCTCTGTCTCGAAGTCTCGGTCTTAAAGGAGTGGGTCTTGGTCTTGGTCTTGGTCTTGGAATTCCAGGTCTCAGTGTTGACCTGCAAAAGTCTCTGTCTTGAAGTCTCGGTCATAAAGGAGTGGGTCTTTGTCTTGGTTTCAGAAGTGCAGGTCTCAGTCTTGGTCTCGACCTTCCAAAGTTTTGGTATCAACAGGTCTTGGTCTCCGTCTTAAAGGAGTGGGTCAGGGTCTTGGCATGCTTGGTCTTGGTCTCAGTACTCTCCAATGCCTTGGTCGCGGTCCCAGTCGTGGACATCAAAGTCTCCGATACAACTGCAGATGTCATGCGATCCTGAATTCCTGATTATTTACCGGTACTTTTTGAGCACAAGTTGCTTTTTTGTTTTGTCTTCCCAAATGCCAACTTGTTTTTATCACCTGAAAGCTTTGTTTCTGAAAGGGAAGATGCTTGTACATGTACATGTATGCTATTACAATATCAATGTAAAAACCAAGTGTACATGTACATGTATGTTAGAACTATTTCCCTATTGATTTTTTGAGTGGTGCTCACAGACTTCAAAATTTCTCCTCCAAAACACAAATATTTGTATTTACATTTATCTCCAACATGGGGGTGGGAGTAAAATGAGTTGAAGCTTAAGAAGGAGATTAAGTAAGCTTAGATACTGTATGAAACATTCTTTGAAGTTTGCATGGTTTTTATGCTGCAGTGTGCACAGAGGCCTAAACTTTTGAGCAGAATTAAGAATTCTTTTCAAAAGATGTCTTTTGTAAAAATGTATGTTATACAGGATCAGTAGACAACTCACTTGTTCTAAATTTGTTATATACGTGCACAATTTATTATGCTTTTGAAATGAGTGAAATACTTTGGTTGAATTTGAAATTTGGTGTTCCACATTGTTTAATTTATAGCCAAAACGTATGTAATTACTAATTTGTAAAACATTTTTTTTTACAATTTAAAAAAAAAGTTTTACAAATGCCAGAAGTTACCGTCTTTTATTTGTTCTCTCTGATTTCAGTGATGCATGCTTGCTAATGATTCAATACTGGTTGTTGATACATGTATACATGTACATGTACATGGGTCATTCTGTGTTAATTCAACACACTTTGGGACCTGACCATAGATAACAAGATTGAAACAAAAATTGGTTTGTTGATCAGATTCCTTGAGAAAACCCCAGAACTGAAATTTTCTGTCAATCAGTCTATTAGTTTTTGGGATACAGGTTAAAAAAATTTTGACTAATTAACTTGACCTGCTTTGTCAATTCAACATGCTTTGGGACCCGACCGTCAAGGATTGAAATGCTTTGTTTGGACAGCCCTATATTTCCTCAAGTAAAGCACCCACAGAGATACAATTAAAATCATCCCACATACAACTGTAAAATATGCAAATAGATGACCTTTGACCTCGATTTGCAAAAAATGTTTAATTTTCAAAAATGCATGTTTAAATTGTACAATTCATATACTTTTCAGTTTTTGCCAAGGTTCAAATAAACATAACTCCAAACTATAAGAGTGCTCATCCTAAATCTTTCTCGAAATGTTGGTTACATTTATCATTCATTTTGAAAACTGTGCACTTTTGAAAATCGAGGTCAAAGGAGTAGATTTGCATAATTTTTCGGTGGTTCATGGAATACTTTTGATATTTCTGTGGGTGCTTTACTTCAGGACATACATGTACATGTATGGCTGTCCAAACAAAACGGATTAAGCTACATGTATGTTAGACAAAAGTGTGTTAACCCGTATCTCAAAAGCTAGGTTGCCAATTGACATGAAATTTGGGTTCGCGAGTTTCTCTTGGAATCCAATCAGCACACCGAATTTGGTTTCTATCTGTGCTGGTCCGGTCCAAAAGCATATTGAATTGACACAGAATTACAAACATGGTAAATAGTAATTTTTGAACAAAGTTTTACACATGCCCAAAGTTACTGCCTTTTGTTTATTTTCTCATTCCAGTGATGCATGCTTGCTAATGAGTCCATCAAGGTTATTTCTTATTACCTTTATCACCCATCATAGCAAATAACAAAGGTTCATATACCGGTACATATACATGCAAACAAATTTTTTCATCAGTGGAATAAATTTGCTAATAAACTAAATGAGAAAACCATTTGCACATTTGTTTGACTTTTAACTCATATCCCATCTGGTTGCTAACACATGTGTAAGAATGGTGTAAAATCAGCATGAAGTACATACATGTACTTGTACGTGTATTGTACATGTACATAAAGTAGTGCCATTTACAAATTGATACCGTACATGTACGGGGTACCGGGACATGTATGACTTGACTTCAATCCCTACTTTTCCCTCTTTATCTTCAAGTCAGAACGTAACTTGTCAAGTCAGTAGTTACATGTTCATGTGTCCTTTGTGAAATTTGGGAAACTTACATGTACATGTATACTGTAAATATTTTAATGATCAAATGACATGAAGTGGCACACAAAATGTCATGGTTTCAATAGACATACATGTACATGTATCAGGTACCAGTACATTTTGTTATCAGAAACTGAAAAAAGAGGTCTGAAAACATGTATTGTACCATGGATTCTTATAAGCAGTCAGCAAAAGCGTAGATATGGTAATTTACTGTTTAATTTGATGCAAAAGACTGTGACCTTTTAAAAATAGATTGTTACGGTATATGGTTCTTATAATGTGCATGTGCTTTGTACATGCACAGGGTTTACATGTGCCAGTACACTATGTGATACTTGGTGTTGCTTTAAATACTGCGTACCTTTTTCTGAAGCTTATTGACAGGTACATGTGTACAGTATACAGCCTGTAAATGTTCAGTCAGTTTCTGACACACTTTGTTGAATTATTAATGAAGTGATTTCACATCTTGATAACCATAGTGATTAAACTACATGTAATCCAGGCTGTGGTTAGAATCCAGGCAGCTTTATTCTGTACCCTGCTGCAGTCGTTAGAGACAGTAGGATGTTCTGAAGATACTGAAGACTCCGTGGTCAGAGATGAATCTGCAAACTTCCACAAATATGTTTTGATAGTGTGTGCTGGGATTGATGAATTGAAGTAGCCCACTTTGTTGATGTCATGCATGCTGAATGGTGCATCTGTGTCTCCCCTGGGAAAAAAAAGAGGTTGACAAAAGAGAAAAATGCATTCTACCTCCACAATACATATTCAAATAATAGAGTGCTTTACATATTACATCTACCCAGCTTTACATATACCAAAGTTTCTTCTTAATAGTCAATAGCGTGACCTTTGTTCTTGATGACTGCCTCAAAACGGTTCCTAAAGTGTCCACCAGATTTTGCATGTCTCCTGTGGGATGTTGGCCCACTCTTCTTTGGCAAAAGCCTCCAGCTGGGTCAGGTTGGATGGTCTTCTGGCCATCACTCAGGTCTTCAGCTCCCTTCACAGATTCTCTATTTGATTTAAGTCAGGACTTTGACTTGGTTATTCCAGTACATGGACACCATTGTCTTTGAACCACTGCTTTACTACCTTGGCGGTGTGCTTGGGGCATTGTCCTGCTGGTATGTTCGATCAGGTCTTACCTGGAGTTTCTCAGCAGACGCTTTCACATTCTTATCAAGGATCTTGGTATAATCCTCTTTTTTCATGATGCCCTTTCCATGTATCTTGGTTCCTTGTGCCTCTTGCAGAGAAGCAACGCCATAGCATTATCATGCCACCGCTATTCTTTAAGGTTGGGACTGTGCTCTTTGGCTTGTATGCTTCTCCAGACGTACATGTACATGTACCGGTAGGCGATATCCTTGTGGCCAAACAACTCCATCTTTGTGTCATCAGACCACAGAACCGATGACTAAAAGGTACATGTAGGATCTTGGTTCAGATGTGCTCTAACAAATGCCAGACAAGCCTCCTTATGTTTCTTCCTGAGTAGTGGTGTCTTCCTGGACCTGTGTCTGTGGAGACGTCCTTTTTGTGCAATACTCGTTGGATGGTTGCCCGTGACACCTTCGTCCCTGCCTTGTCAAGGGTATCAATTAGGGCCTTCATTGTGATCCATAGGTTATTGTTGGCCTCCCGGCAGATTTTCAGGTTAGTCCAGGAGATACTTTGCACTTCCTGCCACGCCCATTGAGGTTTTTCACTGTGCTGAACCTCGTATGCTTCCTGGTGATACTCTGAATTGTTGCAACAGGGACCTCATATTGCTTGGAAATTTCCTTGCAGCCTTTGTCTTCTTTATGGGCATTCACGATGCGCTGGCGTATGTCTTCACTGAGTTCCTTCTTCTTTGCCACGATGACAAGTAACTGAGAATGGTCTGAAAACTTTTTTCTTTTATACAATTTGCGGGAGTTGGATTTCATCAGAATGTTGAACACAAAGTCATCAAAAGAAGGTATTTATTCTATTTGTCGGAACATCTTGAAATAGCTTCATGCCAAAGATTCTTGCAGTCATAGAAAGTAAAAATAAGCAGTATGAATGAAAAGACATTTTTTCTTGGGATTTTGTCGGGTAGGAATAATTTTGACCAGGAGCAAAAAAGAAACCCGGGCTGTATCTATTATTATGCAAATGAAGTGGGTTTGTGTATTGCAACAAATAGACAAAAGATATAGTGGAAGTACCAACATAATAGCTTTTACAAATGAAGAATTTAGAAAAGTACATTGAATGATATTTCCAAAGGATATGAATGATTTTGAGCACAACTGTACTGGTATGTATAGTTTTCCTTTTGTTTGTACAAGTAGGATTTTCTCAATGGGGAATATCATGTACAGACTTGGTACATGCAGATACATGTAGATGCATGCTCATTTATATGCATGGTCTGGTACATGTACATGTGCACATGATGTGCAATTGCATACATGTACGTACAAGAGGAAATGTGTAGCTTGGATGTGGTCGCTTACCTGTTGAGAAGCACAGCTGCCAAAGCACCATCTGGACGTTTAAATGCAATAGTGTCAAGAGAGCTGGTTGAATTGGAGTTATGAAGCCCAATACGCACTGATCCTGCTGGGACAAATTTACTGCAAGAAAAAGACATCATTGTCAAAGGGTCAAGAAATGTACATGTCTTTTTTGTAATACCCCACTTAAGTCTTGAAAGTGTAATTTTGTCTAAACCATAGGCATATTCAACATTTTTTTGCTATTTTGCTATCCGAATGGGTATTTTGGTACATGTACCTTGTACCTTGTTTTTCATGTGATTCAATACATGTACATGTATTTCCATGTTCATCATGTTCATAGGCAGAACTTTGATGTCATTCTACATGTAGGCTGAAAAACTCAATGTTGTTTATTCCCCCCTACATGTACATGTAAGTACTTGAATATTTAATATTTTGCTGGCCCACATGTAAATGTTGGTTTCTTCATCGATTCATTGTGTACATTGTACGTACATGTACATGTACAGTGCATGTGCAGGTACCGGTACATGTACATACTGTATTGGTCACAATGAATTAGCCAACAAGCAATCATTTCTAAGAACTGTTTTGATGAGTACTGGTAATTTGGGGTACATAATTTGAACAGGAAAACCTTGAAAAGGAAGTGTTCTCCCTGACTGGCATACATGTATAGCGAAAATGTAAGTATGAGCATTTGTACTGTTGCGCACCCGCAAATCTTGGAATTCTAGCGCCCCCTAGTTTTACTCGTTCTCGGTACTTGCATTCCTCAGGGTCTCTTATTTAGCTCAGCTATGCATTATGGACATGTAGCAGAGACGCTAATTTTGTATTAAGTTATTCATGCTGTACTCTGGCGTGATGGCGTGATCCTTCACTCCTTTATCCTTGTGTTTTCTGTGCTCAGTTTTAGCAGGTCGAAATTCCCCTCCATGTGGCTGCGTGCTTGGGCGTGGTAAGGTTCCCTGAAATGCTAATGTCCAGAAACCTCAAACTTTGTAACTGTCAATCATTCGCCACAGATGACCGGGTAAGCACTTTCACGCACCCGGCTCTACACTTTGTACACGTGACTTCTTATTCTGTATTTTACATTGCTACACACGACCCTTAGATTCTTGCGCATGACTCCAGCAGGAAGTCATGTGACCCTTTGAGATGGAAGATTTT